TATTACCAAATCTTTGGCATAGGTTCCTTTTTGTGATACTGATGTAAGTGTAAGATAACATTAATACACCCAAGCTATTATGTAACCCATATGCAGCAGAAAGAGTCAGAATTAGGAATGAGGTAGTAAAGTGCAGGGATGGGCACAAACTGGGAAAATATGGTTCATGGTGTATGCAGTAGGGATGTGCATTTGGTTCGGACAAACCGGAAAGAACACTGAATAATGCCTATTCAGCATTATTCAGACATGCCGAAAGCCTAATCAGATTCCCTAGTCTGATTCTGCTGTCCGAACAGGGATTCCCCGAATGGATGCCATATAATCCACATTCATTCGGAGAATCTCTTTGCTAGGCGGGGAAGGCATGGGGAAAGATTTAAAATGCCTCCCTGCTCTGTACAGGCCTTTCCCGGCTGAAGTGGGTGGGCCGGAAAAGGCATGGGGGGGCATTTAATATGCCTCCCTGATCTTTCCAGGCCTTCCCTGGCTTGCCCGCTTCAGTTTTTAAATGCCTCCCCACTCTCTCCAGGCCTTCCCCGACTCGACCACTTTGGTGGGCAGGCCAGGAAAGGCAAGGGAAGGCATTTTAAATGCCTCCCCACTCTGTACAGGCCTTTCCTGGCTCACCCACTTTGGCCGGCGGGCCGGGAAAGGCAGGGGGAGGCTGACTCTCCTCTACCTGCCCTCCAAGTTTTGTGAGGATTGGATTTATGGGGTCCAAATTATGGCCCCAAAAGAAGGTGCCCCCATTCTTCATTGTTTCCAATGGAGGGGGGGGAAACAGGAAAAAAAAGGCAAGGGCGATAGAAGCCCAGCAGAATGGAATCAAAGCCCCAGGGAATCTCTGCAGTAGAAACTGAAGGTGCGGGGGCATATTTGCAGGCCCGTGCAAAGGGCCCAGCAGAACTAGTGCCATTGTGGCTCTACAAACCCAACAGGACTAAGGTCAAGCCAGGAAAGTGCTTTGGGGAAAAATGTCAGGCACAGGTTGAAAAGTGTATAGAATGGACTACCTGCAAGCTACATGCACCAAATGCACAGGGAACCTCAGCCTGGGCAGACCACCCCCAGCCAGTCATTGGAAGCAAGGCGAGCACCCCCCTACACTCAGAGCCCCCTCCAAGTTTCCAAAGACAGGTTCTGAAGGACAGAAAGGCAGACATCCCCAGAATTTTGACAGGGGCTCCCCAAAGTTACCCCACGACAGCATAGTGGCTGCCCCAGCCCCACTAGACCAGTGGTAATCTGAGTTTTCAATTTAAAGTGATTAGTGATGCAACAACAGAAAGGCAGACATGATGAGATACTTCCAACAGGGACTCCCCAGAGTTATCCCATGACAGCTTGGTGGGCACCCCAGCCCCACCAGATCAGTGGAAATCAGAGTTTTCCACTTAGAGATGCCAACCATGGCAGAAAGGCAAACATCCAACAGGGCCTCCCCAAAGTAACCCACTGACAGCTTGGAGGGCACCCCAGCCCCACCAGACCAGTAGAAAGCAGAGTTTTTCATTTAAAGTGATCATGGAGGATGGCCATGGAGGAGATGATATCCTGCCACGCACTCTTCTGCTCCACCAAACGTGCAATCATGGCAGAGTTCCAGCAGGTGGGTAAGTCCAGGATGAGCAGACACCCCCCCTCCTCCTGCCTCTCATGTAGCAGACACCAAGACTTGATGCTGTGCGAGAAGTGGGTGGCCAGGTTCTGGTAGGTCTCCAGCAAGGCCCACATCTCAAGGATGGCAGAATCCCAGGTGGCCCTGACAGTGTTCCCCAGCCTCAGAGCATCCTTGACCACTAGGTGAAGCGTGTGCACCAGGCAGATGATGCTCTTGAGGCATGCAGCCTTCATCACTACCAGCATGTTGGCACTGGCATCCATGACCATATAGCCATGGACAATGTTGCCACCAATCACCCACACTCTCAGACTCCTCTGTATCATGGCAGTGATGTTTTGCACTGTGTGGTCTGCATCCATCCCCTGAGCATGGAGAAGAACCACTTTGTAGTCCAGTGGCAGGAATGTCCCCTCTTGGGGCCTGGGCCATGCCCTGACAGTCCGAATGGATAAGTCCTCTGATTGCCACCAGTGGGCAGTGAGGGAGAGGTAGCCATGCTGCTAGCTGCTCCAGAGGTCTGCCACGGTTTTGCCTTTCACTCTGGAGAGCTTACCCTTCACTATTGCCACTGTGGAGTGATGCATGGTGGGCAAGCATCCTAGAAAAGGCTATGTCCTTCATGTGGAAGATGGGTTGGCCATCCACAGCAATCATCTCACTATGAGGCAAGTGACTGCTTCCTGGGCCCTCCACATAGCCCTTCTGGATGGCACTGTTGGCATCCCTGTGGGAATGACCTCTTGGAGGGTGGCCTGCCTTGATGTCCTGCCCTCAGCACCCTGAGTGTGGGGAGCCTTTCTTGGAGGGGCCTCCTGATCCCCTTCCACTTCTCCCTGCTGAGAGGGAGTTGGCCTCTTCTTCCTCCCACTAGCCACCACTCTTGCCCCCAGTGGGAACATCACTGGGGGCACCTTTTGCAGGTTCCTGCAGAGGACGGAAGAGGAGGAGTGTTGGGGTTTGCACCCCTTGGGACATGGGTGTGGCATACCTGGCACTCTGCCACATAGGGGTCACTGGGGAAGGTGTGGAAATGTTTCCATAATGTGGTCTGGAAATGATAACCCAGGACTGGAGAAGGTGGGAGGAGGGACAGCTGCTTTCTGGTACTGGACTGGGAGGGGCCATGGAGGTGTGTACTAGAGGCAGGAGCAGCAACAGGGAGTTGTTTAGGAGGGGAGGATACCCCCCAATCACTGCTCACAGAGACTTCTCTGAATAGTAGTAGCACTTGCTGGTTTTTGGGCAGTGCTAACAACTCTTTGTCCTCTGTGGAGAGTCCCAGGAACAGATCAGGGGAAGGAGGCTACGAGACCTCTGGTGATACCCTGCTAGGGGCAGGTTCCGTGGGCTGGCAGGGTGGGTTTGGTGCCCGGAGATGGGAGCCTTTCATGCATGGGGGGTCTTCCCCCCACAACAAGTGCAGTCTGCACCCACTTTCAACCTCACAGCACAGAGCGGTTGGTTCACAATCAGGAGAGGTGGGAGGGTATAAAATGTGGGTCCTCAGCCAACAAACACAATAGCTAAGTCCCTCTGCTTGGCATAAGCAGAAAGATGAGGTGGCTCAGAGCCCTGAGTCCACCTAACACCAAAGCCCCACCAGGGGAAAGGACTTTTTAGCCAATAGAGAGGCTGCAGAGCTGAGCTGAGTGTATATACAGCATTCTGATCCCATAGAGCAGAATGGGAATTCTGTTATTGGCAGCCAGCAGTGCCTGTTAAGCTTTGTAGGGTTCCTATTGGTATTTCCAAGGCTGGAGAATTCCACCCCACCCCCCAATTGCCTTGGAATTTTGTAAACAGTTTAATTGAGTGGAGATTGCTTGTTTGGAAATGTAATCATTCCCGAACCACGATAAACCACCATGAACAGCACCAAAGTTTGTGAAATGTTCATGCCAGGTGCCATTTCACGAACATCTCTTTGTGAACCACAAACCAGTCAAAATTTGTGATGAACTTGACTTTGTGAGCTGGTTTGTGTCCATCCCTTGTAAACAGTACTAGATGGAAGGCAGCATGGTACAGCCTGAGAGACCACCAAGGAAGGCTGTGAAGAGGAAAGCAGTGGCAAACCACTACGGCTTCTCATTTGACTTGAAAGACCCTTGCTGGAGTCTCCATAAGTCACTTGTGATTTGACAGCACTTATGTCAAAAAAAGTACTGATAAGGTACTTTTTTGGAATGTTCATCAATGTAAAGAGCTCCCTGCATAGAGAAACTAGGCTTCCTAAGTCCCCCTGGGGGGCGGGGAAACCCCCGCCCCAGAGGCCTGTTCCCTGCCGCCGGCAGATCGGGCCCCGGGGGGAACCCCACCCCGACGTGCATGTCACCCGGAAGTGACACGACCACGCCGGGCACGCTGGGGGCGGGGCCACGGTCATCCGAGGGAAAACTATGGTTTTCCCTCCACACGCACTCCAGCCACGGCGCAGGAGTCCCCCGGTAAGGAGATATTTTGACTTGGCAACCCTAAGAGAAACTAGGATTTTGGAGAAAGGGATTATAGGCCAGGCTTTTTCTTATTGCGGTAGATTTCTGTTTACATGATTTTTTTTAACATAGGAGAGCATTCAAAAAAAGTATTCCTCCCACTGCAGTCTGATCAGGTCCAGTTCATTCTACTTCCTTGTTCTAAATGTATAAATCAGGCCTGCAGAAGAATGAGATGGCAGAATAGCCTACTTATTTATTTATTTACTTCATTTAAACCTAGTGGTGTCCAGCTTGCATTGTTTCTCCTTTCCTTTCCATTTTATCCTCACAACAACCCTGTGAGGTAAATTAGGCTGAGAGTGTGTGACTGGCCCAACATCACCCAGCAAGCTTCCATGCCAGAGTGGGGGTTCAAATATGGATCTCCTTGAGTCCAGTCCAGCACTCTAACCACCATACTGACTCTTGCTACTTTGTACTACAGAGGATTGATTTGCATATTCCTTTTCATAAAAACTCCCTGTAAAGAGAATGTATGCAGAATTTGTCTTCTTTTTTTGTTTGATAGGCTACTTTTCTATTTATAGAGTTATTTACAACATGGGGATGCACTCCAAAATGTTATTCTTCATTAACCTACACTCTGAAATTCTGTAGTCTATTCTGTTACCTCAGATTTCTGTCGCCTCAATACCTCCTCATTCTATTGCATGTGCAAACTAGGGACCTAAGGTGCAGTAACACTTCCCCCTCCTTATTTCTGCTATTGGTTCTTACAAATGCTTTAAAAAAAATTAAGACGATGTTGTGTTTTAACGGTTGTCAGCTCAGATTTAGTGAACTCTTTGAAGCTGGCAGTTCGCATGTATTTGTACTATTGGCATTTTCGACAAATGCAGAGGTCATTTGGGCTTATCTTTCCATTTTCTTGACAGAGAAATCTCTCAGAATGATGTCTTGCAAAAGATAGAATCGAATGTGTTCTGCAACCTTCCCAATCTCCTGGAAATGTGAGTAAATAAATAGGACTAGAGGATAGAGACTCTATAAGTACGGATGAGACTGCATTTCCCTAGTGGTCTGGTTGGATTTGAATATCCCCATTTTGATTTCATTTCTTACTTGAGCAAAAAGCAACTGTAAATCTTTTAGCACCAATTCCTTTTTCCTCATGCTGAATTTTGCCCATTACAGTGGCAAACGAGATCCCATGTAAATCACTGTAATCTGATGCACATTGGGCAACCTCCTCTCAACTTCACAACTGAAGTGGTGGGATCTGAGCCACTGATGAACATAAGAAGAGATCTGCAGAATCAGATCAGTGGTCCATCTAGTCCAGCATCTTGTTTCACAGAGTAGCCAACCAGTTGCCCTAGTGGGTCAACAAACAGGGCATAGAGACCGAGACCCTCCCAGCTTCTGCCTCCCAGCACTAGTATTCAGAAGTTTATTGTCTTTGAATGTGGAGGTTACCTTTAATCTCTAGTTAATAGCCATTGGTGGAAATATCCTCCATTAATCTGAGCTACCCCCTTTAAAGCCATCTGTTCACATGGCTGTGACTTCATCCTCTTGTAGTGACATCCCCACTGTAATTACTCATTGAGTAAAGAAGTAGTTCCCTTCATCTGTTCTGAATCTATTGTCTATCAACGTCATTGCTGGCCCTGTATAACAATATGCGAAAGGGAGAAAAACTCTTAATCCACTTTGTTAGCTTTTCTGCATACAAAAGGTGTCTCAACCGTTTTGGTTGCTCTCTTCTCCACTTTTTCAGGTCTGTAATATACGTTTAAAGATATGACAAAAAGAACTGTAAGAAGTATTTCAAATGAGGTCATACCATAGATCTATACAAAGCCATTACTATATTGGCCATCTTGCGTAATGACCACCAACACACTGAGCTGGCGTTTCCACCAAAGTATCCAGTACAACCCCAAATTTCTTTCCCTTTTGATCTCTACCAGTTCAGACCACATCAGTATATATTTAAAATTAGGATTTTTTGTTCCAGTGTGCATCACCTTACACTTACCTATGTTGAACTTCATGAGGTTGAGAATGTACTGAGAAGTGATTGTATGAATCTGATGCCCATGTGAAAATTGTATGAATCTTGTATGATTGTATGAACTGTATGAATCTTGTAGCCCATTCACCCAGTGTAGAGAAATCCTCCTGGAACTCTTCACAACCTACCTTGGTTTTCACCATTCTGAATAAAACTTGGCGACTACACTGCTCACCTCCAATTCCAAATCAGTGATGAACAGTAACACTGGTCCCAAAACTGATCCTGGCGTCCCACTGATAGTTTCCCTTTATTGTGAAAACTGCTCATTTATTTCCACTCACAGATTCCTGTCATTTAATAAATTTCTAGTCCATAACAAGGCCTGTCCTGTCCCATGCTAGCTAAGCTTATTCAGAAAACTTTGGTGAGGTATCTTGTCAGAAATCTTTGGAAGTCCAAATATACAGTGTCTACTGGACCACTTGCTTAATAACCTTCTCAAAGAATTCCAAAAAGGTTGTTGAAGCAGGACTTCCTTTTGCAGAAGCCAAGGTGATTTACCCTCAGCAGGCTTTGTTCATACATGCTTAATAATTCTCTCTTTAGTAACAATTTCTACTAATTTTTCCAGAATACATATTAGGCTAACTGGCCTGTAACTTCCTGGATCTCCTCTGGACCTCTTTTTTATAATGAGCATAGCATTTGCTACTTTCCAGTCCTCCAGTACGGAGGGTGATTTTGATTACAAGTTAGAAGAACAGCAGCTTCACATCTGAGTTCCTTAACTAATTTTTCCAGAATACATATTAGGCTAACTGGCCTGTAACTTCCTGGATCTCCTCTGGACCTCTTTTTTATAATGAGCATAGCATTTGCTACTTTCCAGTCCTCCAGTACGGAGGCTGATTTTGATTACAAGTTAGAACAGCAGCTTCACATCTGAGTTCCTTAAGAACCCTCATTTGTGTGCCATCTGGACTCAGAGACTTATTAGTTTTAAATTTGCCTAGTTGTGCTAGAGCCTCAATACTTATCACCTCTATTCGATTCAGTACTATGTTAGGTCACTAACCAAGAAAAAGTTCTGGGTATCAGGGTGGACACCTGAAGATAACCATTGACCCAGCATGTAGCAACACTGCATACTAGCCATTACTATAAAAGAATTGAAAACAACAAACCTAGTCCTTATGGTTCCAATTCCAATAGGTGTTTCTGAATTTTTTTTACAGAAAAATTGAGAAGGCAATCAATCTTGAAATTATTGAGCAAGATGCCTTCCAGAATCTTCCCAGCCTCAAGTACTTGTAAGTATCTGAGACTTTGCTGTTGCATCATCATTTCTTGTAACAGGTCTTTTCACACAGTCTTGATGGAGGACACAATAATTCCACAGCTCATTTGTTGCACATTTACTGTTGTTGTCCCTCAAGATTGCAACTTAGATGAGGATATAGCCCATTTTCCAGTGCTATTTGGTTAGTGCAAAAATGTAATTTTTAGTACAGCAACTAGCACTTCCATTGAGGTTGGAAGTGCACTGAGGAGTGCTTGTATGAATCTGATGGGATCCTCTTCGGTTTTGCTGATGACATCACTTCAGAAGTATAACATATTTTGTTCCCCTTCACCACCCCTGCATGTATCATGTTTTGAAATTAACGGTGTTTGGTACTAGTTCAAACAGATTCTGTTAGCAGAACTAAGAATGACGGTTTTGCTGATGACATCACTTCAGAAATATAACATATTTTGTTCCCCTCACCACCCCTGCATGTATCATGTTTTGAGATTAACAGTGTTTGGTACTAGTTTGAACAGATTCTGTTAGCAGAACTAAGAATGACAAATACCCAACTGACAATAAAAATGAGTGTAGCCATGTTTTTAAACAGTGGTGATAAGGCAATCCCTCCCCCATGTCAGGAAGGAGCCACTTTTTAAGTAGCTTTTTTTGCTTTTTAAAGAACAGTCTGAGTTGGATCCTATGATCTGCCAGTGGAAGGTGCTGATGGTTGAGGATATTTCCCATGTTGCCCTACCTTCAACAGTACTTTCTGACACCAAAAATGTTTCCCATTTTTTGTTGCACATAACAGGTCCCATGTTAATAGTCACACAGGTCATGAGACTACAGCAAAGAATGGGGACAAAATTGCCTCCTACCTCTTCTCTTAGTGCACCTCCACTGACAGAACACAGATGAGAAGGCGATTTCTTCCCCTTCCTATTCCCCACTGCAGCCTTGTGACTGTAATGGCTATCCCACAACCCACAAATAATTTTTCCCAGGGTAGAAAAGGACTGTCCATGGATCATGGGATCTAATCTTCTGTTTAGTTCTTTGAGAGATGTGTGCATGTCTTCTCCTATGCTAGAGTGAACCTCTGGTCTGCCTTTATCTATTATCTGTCTATTTCATTTTTTCCACCCTTTTTCCAGAGAGCTTTTAGGGGCATACATGGCTCTTTCCTCCTCCATTTTATCCTCATAACAATTCCATGAGATAGGTTAGGCTGAGAGTGATTAGCCCAGAGTCACCCAGGAAGGGTCCTGGTTGAATGGGGATCTGAACCAGGGTCTCCTGAAGCCTAATCTGACACGCTCACCTGTATAGACTCCATTAGTGTTACACAGGGGACCAACAACAGTACGTGTGTATGTACTGAAATACTTATATCCCATTTTTCCATGAAAATGCTCAAAGCAGCTCACAAAATCAATAAAATACAACTGCAAGATTTTTAACATTTTAAAAAATTAAAAGAAGAAAACTGGGGGTAGAATAACAAGCTGGTTAGATCAATTGCAAGATTTTTAACATTAAAAAAATTAAAAGAACTGGGGGGTAGAATAACAAGCTGGTTAGATCAAAGCAGCTAAACCGAAAGGAGGAGTTAATCCAAGGGATAGGAAAATAGAAAGGTCTTTGCAAGAACTCCAACAGCAACAGCACCTGATGGACCTCTCAAGGGAGGGGTTTCCAGAGGTATGTTGCTAGAAAAGAAATAGGCCCTGCCTCTGGTCACTGCCCATCTTACAACCTGTTCTAAGGAAGAAAGATAGGTTCATCAGGAAGAAGGCAGCTCTTCAGATCCTTAGGCCAAAGCCCTTTTAGGGCTTTGTGCATCAAATGCAGCACTTAAAATTGCATATGGAAGTAGACTAGGAGCTACTGGAAATTTTGTAAAATAAACATGATAATATGCCCCGTGGCTTATTCCATTAGCCATGTTGCTGCAGCCTTTTGAACCAGCTGGAGTCTCTGAGTGGTTTTCGAAGGCAGCTTTGCATGCAGTGCGCTGTCCTTGATCAGCCCATCTGACCAGAGTTTGACTAACAGCTGCAAAGGCATTCCATTCCAGGAAGGGGCACAGCTCTTCAAGGTAAAGATGCCACTTGAACAGTCAGAGATGAGGTGAGACCTACACCACTGCAGAGCTGCCAACCTGGTTCTTCGGGGGGGGGAGTGCTTTCCCATCAGGCACAGCTTGATAACTAGGGATGTACAGATTCTTTTAGTTCTGTTCCATTATTATTCTCTGGCTCCAGTTATCTTCCAGGAACAAAGGAGAATTGCAGAATGTGGATAATGGATTTTGTGCAAAAGGAAAAAAAAATATGTATAGTTTTGAGATTTAGAAATACACTTTAAAAATTAAAGCAATGGCTTCCTTGAAAGAAAATATATATATTATTTACTTGTGTTGCCTTTCCACAAAAACACAAAGAACAGCCACTCTCCTTTGCTTTATAAAAAACCCCTTCAAGACCAACCATGTGTGTGCTAAAAAACTAAGCATTTGATTTATTTATTTTTACATTAAAAAGACTAGTGTTCAAGGATTTTCTTCTCTTTTTTTGCTTTGGTTTTATGTTAGAAACATAACAAGAATAATAGAAGCCCATTCAAAATTAGCCCTTTGGGAGCCAAAAACATTTTAAAAACACTTTTATGATCTTGTTTGTGGGTTACATAAGAATTCAGTTGTGTTCTTCTGCAACATAATAAGCAGACGCCCCCTCTTCCCTTAGAAAACTGGCATTGCAGTACTAAACAGAGTTACACTTTCTAAACCCATCGATTTCAATGGCCTTAGAAGGTTATAGCTCTTCTCAGGATTGCACTGTAAGCCTTGTGATCTAGAATCTTTTGTTTGCTCACATTTTTGGCACACAAGTTAGTTTTTAATGGATTTATTGTATTTTTATTTGTATTTCTTTTTCTGCATAAATAACTCTGAAATAACCCAACAGTAGTTTTGTCTGGATTGAACTCCAAGTTATTAACTATTTATTGCCATCTCCAGGCAGCTGTTCAGAGCATGATCTGACCTGATGAAAAGGAGTAACAGAGCTTGGTATCATGTACTAATGACACCTAAATCCCCCTTTGATTTCAGACAGAAGTGTCGTCGTGTAAATGTTAAATAGCACTGCAGACAAAATATAACTTTGAGGGGGTACTATAACAACAATGTGAGAAAGCACAGCAAAAACAGCCAATAAGAAACTCTCCTGAATCCATGACTATATGCACTTCTGAGCAACAATATGCATCAAAATAAGTTTTCCAGCAGGTTGTGGGACTTGGATGGGTATTGTGGCATGGATGGAGAGACATCAATGTTGGCCATAAGGGCAGAAGCTCCTTTTGTCCTTTCATGGATATTGCTTGTGGCGTCAGGGCATGTTATCTCTGGATTGGATATTGCACTGTTATCTTTGGGTCAGGACTTGGGCAAATATCAGGCAAAGGACACTCATTCACTCATCCTCTAGATATTCCAAGAAAGTAATTTCCCCCTCTTTCCTCCTCACTCTCGCTCTTTCTTCCACCTACACAGTGAACATTTAAACTCTTCATTCTGCCAAAGACAGAAAACCATTAGCAGTATTTTCCATTTATATGCAGTGCTGGGTGATGAGCTGCCTCTTAATAAGAATTCATTTGATAGTCAGGCTTAATTCCACAGTCATTTAAATAGCATTCTTCACAAAGGATTCAGGTCTCACAACATGTTTGCCACATCTGCTCCCATGGGGTTTCCATCATAATTCATGGATAATTAAACCCACCTTTAGAATAAAGTATTATCCAAAAATACTCAAGCTGCTGTTAGCACCTGACCTGAATCTAACTGATAATATCTCTTCGGCTGTGACTTAAAAGCAAAAGGAAGTCTAATGAAATCCAGTGGGCTCCGATAAAATGAAAGGACAAGGTTAGGATCTTTCTAAAAAACCCAAATTGAGTGAGAAGATTTCCTCTATTCCATTCCATTACATATTAAAATTTGTTTTGTGTTGTATCTCTCTTCTTCTCCTTAATTCCAGTTCAATTAGGAGAATTTCTAAAATCTATTCTGGACCTGGAGCATGTGCAGTTTGTTACAGGTTTCTGTTCATCAAATTCATATGCATTCCACTCTCACCCCACCCCCCTACACACACATTCACCACTGCAGGAACTGTTTTTATCTTTGAAGAAAGACTTAACAGAAAAGAGAATCATAGGGTGTGATCACACAAGCAGTTTGGCCTGACATAGCCACCCCTCCCCTCCAGATCAAATGGGCACAGTCACACAGCCGCATCTGTCAGGCGTTCCCCAGGCATACTTACCCCATCGTAGGATGACTTGGAGCTGGGTTAAAAAGGCACCACATAACGTGGTGTTTTCGGTTCCTCACACATTCATAGTGGATGGCTGGATGATGGGATGCAGGGCAGCGCGTGCAGAACAGATTGGTGGTCTGAACCTGCAAATCCGTTCCCACCAGTAGGGTGTGTTTTTTTTAGTTTTTGCCTATATGCGCATGAGCGTACATGAGAACATGTGCAAGCACCTATGCACATGCATGAGCACATATGCACCTACCTGCATTTTTAAAAAAGACCGGGCAGTGTGCTCCGTGGCTGGAGCACTGCAGTAATGTGGATGCTTGACCACAGGATGTCCGCATGGGTAACCAGCAGCAGGGTGTGCTGTCTGGATGATATGCCCCACAACACTTTAAACTGGTACAATTAGAGGTGGCGCATATCGTCCCAAGCCGCCAGTGTGTCCACATGCATAGGATCCAACTTAGCTGAAGGCAGTCATAGGATTACCAGCTGTGCATCAAGAGCTCTGAATCAGCACCAGTGGTGTGATGAGCATCTGTGAACTGATAAAACATTCAAAAAATAATCTTGATGTGATTGATTACATCAGTGTTCTTTTGTGTGGTGTTTTACTGATGTGAACTTGTGCTCCTGTTCCATGTCTTTATATAACCACATTGAGATTGCTTTTGTGTATAGT